TAATTAGGTGTACTAAAGCAAATATTGCAGAAATCCTGTGAAAACGTAATCAGATCTATTTCGTGATCTGGCAATTTTGAGATTCACATTTTTCACTTGAAAGCCTTGTTAAAAGCTTAGTGGTTTCATTTAACAATTCTTTTTAAGGTATGGCATGTTTAAAACATTTCACTATATTGTGAGCAACTATTTTGTGGCAAGTAAGTCGTATTGAAAACTGCATAATTAACATCTGAATCAGTTTCCTGGCATTTAGACCCTATATGAAAAAAAAGCTACTGTAATAACAAATGTTTGACAGTAAAAATGATTTTTATTTGTATTTTATAAAATAATAAATAAGTTTTATAATAAAAACACATGAAACATAGATACTTAGTTATTTTAATAACAGACATTAAGATAACGTTTCAAAATTGACTTCTGGGTGACTGTGTGACGACTGCCACCTGTTGGTCAAAATATGCAATATTTTAAATTTATGTTTTTTGTTTGTCAAACTTACTACATTTGAAATGTAAAATAAATAAATAAATAAAAGAGAGAAAGAACAAGAAGACATTTTTCTGTTAAAAAGATAGTTTTGTGGAACCCCTTAAATAGTAACAAAGGGAGTTAAAATACAACAAAAAAAAGCATAATAGTGGTGAGTGTATAACTCATAATAATAATAATAATAATAATAATAATTTGTTGTACTTTTATACTTTAATCCTTAAAATTTGTCATTTTGTCCGAAATCACTCCGTGGAGCATTAAAGCGGCCCTGACTCGATTTATCTGGGCTCTTCTCATCAGGCCTCACGGAGCGATCATCTCTCCTCGCGACCAGCTTTGTCTGATTTAAGATGGCTGCCTAGTACATCGAAGTAACGCGGTTATTGCATGTCAACATGTCACTTCTAAAAGCATGTGCCTTCGTTAAATGCTTCAATCGGCGTAGTTTATTGGAAAAATGTGCTGTTGGCCGGGATTTTGCGGACTGTTGCCGGCTGTGTGTCTCGACGAGAAACGGCTCAGTGAGACTGATATCAGGTGAGCCGAAGCAGGAAACTCATAATTATCAGTTTATCTGACGTGATAAATAAACTATCGAATTTCATCCAGGATTCGTGTGTTAAAAAAATTGTACATTCAAGCTGAGTTAAATGTCTGTGGGACTTTAAATGGTTGATATTTTACAGGTTATTTAGTAACGATTTTCTTGTTAGCCTACTAAGTATTGTGAAAATAGATATATCTAACATGTTTTAACGCGAGCACACTATTTCACCTTGTTATGGCCATTTCAGTTGATGACAAATCTGTTGTCAATTAGGGTAAGCAAAAGGTAACCAGCACCTCCTTGTCCTTGAGAAACATCATTGGGCTGGACCTTCAAATCCCCTTTTGTTTACTGTTGCAAAACAACAAACAAACAACCCCCCCCCCCCCCCCCCCAGATTTACTAGGCAACAACACACACACATATATTTTTATGTACTCTTTATGTCCTGGGAAAAAGTAAACACTGATTTGGATTGATTTCTAGTCATGTCAACATAATTTAGTTTTTATTATTATTTATAAATCATAATTGTTAACATGGTGGACTCTATGCTATTAAACTAAACCTATATGGCTTTACTGTGTGACATAAACACTTAGCTCCAACCAACTTTTAGATGAACTGCTAATACAGAAGTTCAAACACTTTTTTTTTGGTACACTTTATACTATATGTTAAAGTAAATGACATACCAGTACTAGCACATTGTAATAACCAGTAACTACAGTTTAAAATAAAGTGCAGGCTGTGTTTTGCAAGTCATTTAAAATAATCTGGTTACTTGAAGTGTTCAAGACCTTTTTCTAAACACAGATACACGTGGAGGCAAAACACAGCGTAAAAAGTGATTTACCGGTACTTATATATTGTCCCCCTTTTAAAGCACTAAATAATAAAATACTCCATCAATATATTTGTTTTTATTTTGTGTAGCAGTTTAATTCACCTGTTAATCGGATCACTTTAAAAGTGAAAACCCTCAGCTGTTTGTTGTTTGTGTGAGTTTACTTGTTTATGCAGGATGATACTGTGCTTTTGTTTTCAAGCTCTGTTAAATAATCTGCATGTGTTTGTTTTCTTCCTTTCTTTTTTTCAGAAACCCCTTTAAACCTTCAGAGAAGAAACGTTTCATCTGTATTCCCAAAGTCAGATGATACGAAGAAACGTGTACTTGAACAGTCTCAGTTGTTAGATGGTATGTGGATTTAGACAACAATTTGTATTGAGTAGTCACACTGATGCTAGGAGCATCAACGTTTTCAGAGGTTCTTTTCCTCATTAGTTGTGCTGCAAGACACACTATGTTTGGAATCAGTATTAGTTTATGTATTTTATAGATTTCTGTTTTTTAAAGTGCCATACTCGTCAGACTCAATCTGATGCATACATTTTATGAATACTTTTTAAAAAATATAATGCACTGTATCATGCAGAGGATACACATTGCTTTTGTTTCCTTTTCAGTGCTTGAGGCAAGGATCCAGCAACTTCAATCTGACGTCGTTTTGGATGTCCAGCATGCAAAAGTGCATTTCATTAAAGTTCCTTCTTGTAGAAGAGGTGTGTCATCTGATAGGATTACCATCAGAGGGTTGTCTCAAGAAAAATCGTGCATTTCTAAATATGGATATTTACACCCATCCTCTAAAGTACAGCCCAGCCGCTGGATGGAAAAATTGTCTGTCGAGAAGACAAGTAAAGTTAAGAAACTGCAGCACATCAAGCAGAAATTGAAGAAAAGCTCCACAGAGACATTTTCTGCTTCTGAAAATAGAAGTGGCATGAAACCATCAGATGAAATTCGTGCTACAGTTTCTTCACCAACCACGGTATCTGCTGTCACTGCAGAAAAATCAGCAACATCAAGTAAAGTATTGAAAAAGAAAAGGAAAATCTTGAAAAAGAGTGTTGAAAAAGATGGAAAGGATATTGAGGCCAAGAATGAAGAGCTCTCTGAGACTGAAGAGCTTAACAAAAGACTTAATCAGAAAAAACATCACTGGGCACATTTAGGTACTCCAGAGACCACGGAAAACGTTAAAGTAAGTCCATGTGGAGATGTCTATCTCAACAACCTCTCTTACCTGGAAGCGTGTGTGTTTATTGGGGACATTGAGCGGTCACAGACTTTCCTCCTCAATCAGCACAGAACCATGGGTCGGCGTAAACATCTCAATACGGACATTTACAACATCATGATGAAAGTGTGGGCCAAGAAAGTAAGTGATGAAATAAAAATAAATGAGACAGCAGAATTATTTTTTAGTTAGTTCACAAACTTGGTGGCCCTGAAGTTTAAACCACAACTACAAATTAAAAAACACAACATTTGAAAAAACAATTAATTTGAAAAAAACACAACATTTGAAAAAACCATGTTTGAAAAAACAACATTTAAAAACACAACATTTGAAAAAACAATTAATTTGAAAAAAAAAAAAAACACAACAACATTTGAAAAAAACCATGTTTGAAAAAACAACATTTAAAAACACAACATTTGAAAAAAAACCAACAAAAAAACATTTGAATAAACATCCAACAATTTTCAGTCAGGTCATCTGGACAGTTTCTTTTTTTGCTGAAACGTTTCACCTTCTATCCGGAAAGCTTCATGAGTCGAGGAGACACAAGCATCAGTTTTGTGTTGTGTGTTTCCTTGACTGATGAAGTCTTCCGGATAGAAGGTGAAACGTTTCAGCAAAAAAAAGAAACTGTCCAGATGACCTGACTGAAAATTGTTGGATTGTATACCTGGATTATTGAGCATGGACTTTTTTTTTGTTTGTTTGTTTTTTTCAAATGTTGCGTTTTTTTCAAATGTGGTTTTTAATTTGTAATTGTGTTTTGTTTATTTGTAGTTGTGTTTTTGAATATGTAATTGTGGTTTAAACTTCAGGGCTGCCGTATCTTTCCAAATTTGATTGAATTAAAATTTATCTGGCATCATCGGGCATCACTTCAGTAAATATTGTTGTATAGTTATTTTTACAGTTCTGATTGTGGTTCCTTTTTGCCTCTCTCTGCAGGGCAAATTAAATCAGGTCGGCCGCATCTTCATTCTATTAAAAGAAGCTGGTCTGAAGCCAAATCTTGGATCATACTCTGCTGCGCTCGAGTGTATGGGTCGCAATCCATATTGCTCCCCTAATGTCATATCAAGGTTTGTCTGCAACTGGTCACACCACCACACAAACAAGATTCATAAAGGAATGTGTTCAAAGGTTAGGGGCAAGTGGATTGTGCCGTTTAAATCATGGAACTCTGCACGTCTTCAGCTACAGAACAGAAGTTTGGTTGATTTCTCTTTTTCTTTTAATTTCTCATGTTCTGTATGACTGAGATTTGACAAGAACAAATGATACAAACGTTGCTGTCGGACCATATCGATACTAATGTAATGGTATCAGTGCTTGAGTTTGTTTCTACAAACAAACTATATCGCTTTTATTCCAGAAATACAGTGCTGCACCGGAGGAGCCATCAAAAGACAAGATTAAATAAAAACACTGAGCCAAACATGCATGTCAGATAATAATTAAATCAGTTCTGATTTCACAAAACTTCAGTCACACATGCTAACATGTAGCATCCATATTTACTTCCTTAAACACAACTTGATGCGTGCGACGTCACGTCTTCTGCTCATGCCTGTTGCAAAGAACTGTAAACTGTTCACACTGATGTGAACAACCACGCAAAAAATAAAAAAATCGGATATGAGCAAAAACTGTGAATTGAGCTTTAATCAGAGACGAGGCAAATTAAAGAAAAAAAGACGACCCAACCGTACTTCTGTTCTGTAGCTGAAGAGATGTAGAGTTCCAAGATTTAAACTAGGGATGCACAATATTGGATTTTTGGCCGATATCCAATATGCCGATATGTTAAAACTTATTTGTCCGATAACCGATGCCGATACCGATATTTTATATACGTTCCTTTGTCAGAACATAGCCTTCTTATTTAGGCCTATTTGCTACAAAAAATGTGCAACAGCTGTAAGAGCTGGTGACATATATTCAGTAACAGCCATATGATATGCATAGCACTTTAACTTATAATAAATAGAGTGTTAAATATTATTTATTAGCATTAGTCACCTGAGATACTGTCTCACTTGTGGAGGCTTGTTCCGGGTTCTTAGCTGCGGTGTGGGATCCTCTGCACTCCTGTGCATGAAGGACAGCCTTTTTAAATTCAAAGTTTTTGTCTATCTATTGTGTCGTGAGACTAATCATGCTAACAGGGCTAACACAACGTCCACATGTCTGTGGTAAAACTCACCCAACAAGTCGTGCTATCGACTATTAGCTTCTCAATGACTTAGGTAATGACAGCTTGTAACTTGGGTAACGTTATGTCGGAAAAAAATATCTCCGACTGGGGACGATGTAACGAGGCTCAACGTACCCCAGAAATCTTCGGAATCCGACATCCTTACCAATGAAAAATAAAACTTCCACACTGCCGACATTTTGAATTTTCCTCTCTGCCATGAGCACAGGTAGGTGCACGTGACGTCATTGCGGTGCGCTGCCGCTGCAGGTAAAAACAGCACCATTTATATCGGCGAGTTATTTTAATGGAATGTCCGATATTGAATTTTATGCTAATATCAGCCGATACCATGCTGAGAATATTGTGCATCCCTAATATAAACTGCACATGTTTGGTATTGTTATTATTTATACTGGGTTGATGTGCTTACTCCTACCTCACTGATATAAAGGCTGGATGAAATGGGACATGACTGTTCAAACTGAGTTTGCTTTGAAAAACTTTGGGTATGTATCTGAGTCAGTACCACAGATGAATAAGATCTGGCTGGGGTTTGCAAAAATCTGATTACTGGTAGTCACGCTCTGTCATGAAAAAATCTGATTTGATTCACATTTCCTACAGTGTGAACAAAGTTGAGTGCTGTTTATTACACACATGTAGAAAATATACACTTTTACAGACTGTGGCCATCACTCTTTGCATTGTAATATGTGCAGTAGTACAAGTTCAAGTAGGTTTATTGTCATTTCACTACCTGTGGTACGTGAGGTGGAATGAAATTGTGTACACAGGGTCCCAGTTACATCCAACAATAGCAAAAATGTAAAAAGTGTAAAAAGAATAAGGATCTAAGATATACACTGAGTTATACGCTAAACAAACACACAACGGTACGCTAACAGATCTAAGATGTATTCTAAACACTAATAATGTAAAATAATACGGCGTAATAACAGCAACCCGAACTTAGTAGTAAGTTTGACAGCAGAATCTGGTTGGTTCATTGATCACTGTAAGATTATGCTAATATGAGACTTTGGCACTACAGTGGTCTTTATTTTTATTCTATCTTTTTTGTCACTTCATTTTCCCCCAGCTGGTTCCCTTTTCCACAAATATTGTGCTCGCCTATTAAGTCACTTTTACTGCATCCTTGTCCTTAGCGAATGTGATCTGTTCTTCTGTTTTTCCTCTTTCAACACTCATCCTTTTAAGTTTTCTTTCATAAGTGCTGTGTCCTCCAGAGCTCTGTGTTCCCTGAGGTGCAGCAGAGCAGTCACCAGGCTTATTATGCTCTATCTGTCAACCTCTCTGCCTTCTTTGTTCCTCTGGACCACACTGCCAGCTCCCAGACTAATCCTGTCTTTGTTCCAAGGCTTTCTCATTTGCTCAGACCAAGATTGCACGTTGCAACACAAGTGACTCAATGGCAGCAAAGTTACACCAAAATGTGACCTCTGTGACCGTCAAGAATAAAAATAGGACCGTTTCTAAGCATCAGAGTTGTGATGGGTGTTTTGTTTTGTAGGGATGTGCAGATCTCCACTCACTAATCGTTAGTTGTAATATCTGAAAGCTGCTGAGCTATGGTTTCCTCCAGATGCTAATTAGCACACTATTATATATAACAGTGAAAGGTGTGCAGGGTGAAGCAGAGCTCGGTTGTTGTCTGGGCAGTGACAAATTAGCCTTTCTCACTTTTTTTTCCTCCTTTATTGTGCAATTATTTGGTTGGTCTCTAGGAGGCAGTGCAACCAAACAGGCTAGCAATAGAGACTACACAGAGGCCATTCAGGTCAGTTTTATTTCAGGGGTTCTCAAACTTTTTGGGTTCAGGGACCCCTTACAGGGGAGAAAAGGTTTCAGGGACTCTCTCATAACCCTCATGTTTATTAAATCATTTTCTTCAGTTTGTCTGTTTAATTCAATGGAAAGATTTGTGTAGTATTTTTTCAACCTTTATTTATACAGGTTAGTCCCATTGAGCCTCCGGGACTCATTTACAAGAGAGACCTGTTTGTTTTTTGTTTTTTTTTAGTGGTGATAACAGTAGACAATCATAAAAAGCATACAAATTGAGAAGAACAAATAAAAGGAAATGGTATTAAAATACAAACAAAAACAGCTAGGTGGTAAAGTGATGTGAAAATACTAAAAACAGGAACATGTCTGCGTTGGTTTTTGCCAGGAACTTCGCAGATGTTTGAAGCCACTTGAGAGGTCAAGGTCGAGAGCTTCAGATCTTTTTGCAAGATATTCCGGGAAATGGGAGCGGAGTAGGAGAAGACCCTTTTTCAGTTCTCACTTAGGGAACACTGCATGTAATAATGTCCTGACAGCGCACGCTGTACAAGTCCTTCTCAAAAAATTAGCATATTGTGATAAAGGTCATTATTTTCCATAATGTAATGATAAAAATTAAACTTTCATATATTTTCATTGCACACCAACTGAAATATTTCAGGTCTTTAATTGTTTTAATACTGATGATTATGGCATACAGCTCATGAAAACCTAAAATGCCTGTCCCCAAAAATTAGCATATTTCATCCCACCTGCTCTCACACAGTGATGTGTAGGAGATGTATGAAAGCATCAGACCAAGAAGTAATTTAAAGATGAAAATGTACCAGTGAGAGAGTCTACATGAAGTCAATGATGTCCATCCTGATGCATGCTCAATAATCCAGGTAGAAACATCTAAAAAATGTAATGTCAGGTCCTCTGTCAGCAGCAAACTGGTTGATCCACTATGATAAGGGGTTATTTATGACTGAGCTGAATACAACTTCTCAGACTGAAGAAGTCTTTCAGATGAAAGACGAAACGTTTCTACATTTTTTTGTTTGTTTTTGGAACCCATCCAGAGGACCTGACTTAACTTTTGTAGATTAATGATGTCCAGTTAACCAGTAAATACAGGGTGCAATGATGGGTACGGTAGTTCCAGCCAGTTATGAATCTTAGTGCACCGTGATAGACAGCGTCCAACATCTGCAGGGTGCTTGTAGGAGCGTTCATGTAAATAATGTTACCGTGAATACTTTAGACCAGTTGTTTAATAGTGTTAATACAATTTTTATACTTTTAAACATGAGGTATTTTTCATTCAAGACACACTTAATTAACATTTTTAATTTCAACTTCCAAAAATTAGTTTTGAGAAAATTAACAGCATCAAAAACCACTTTAAAACTTTACCTGTTTACATATTGAACATAATAAATGTATTGCCACTTCTTCAAATTATTACAGAAAACTCTTTACATAAAATTGTAACAAGTAAAAGGGCTTAATTTGTAAACTGATCGATGCGGGAACACAAATAGCAGGGGGGGGGGGGGGGTTATGTGTATGCAGAGGTCTGAGCGTCCTTCCCCAGAAAATTTTGAACAAAGTAGATGTAATTTCCTGCATTTTGGTGTACTTTAACGGGTTGTTAAGCGTGCTTGTAAAAAAGCATGTATGATGAACATGTAAATGTACATGAAGTAAATGTAAGATCATACGTTTTTAGGGTACATGAACAAAATTCAGTAAGTTAAGTGAATATACAGTTAGCATGTGAAAGCTTAATTTTCTTATTGTATATAGCTTCTTACTGAAAATGTTGGTGTAATATACTGGTACATTCAGTCTTTCTTAAATTGTTGTATACAGTAGTGTAATACAGGGTAATACCATAAAAATGTAGAAAAAAAATCATAATTTGTATTTTATTTTAAATTCACCAATCAAATATTATTAATGACAATTAGGCAATATGAAAATATTATTTCTATGACCTTCATAGGCGTCACACATCAAATGTAATTGTAGAAAACTCCCTTTAATAAATGTCTCATTTGTATTCCAGAGAGCAGTTGCTCATTGGCATCA